GCCCTGCGATGCAGACAACTTTAATTGTTTTCAGGGTATACAGAAGTATATTATTAAAATACAATTAAACTTAAAATAAAATACATGCCTAGCACTACACTGTTACAAGTGTAAATATGCCTCAGATGGTTTGGCTTGGCACTCAATTTAAAAGGCGAGCAGAAAAAGTTTATTGATGCGTGAAATTAGCATTCGACATGCCCATATATATCTCAGCCTCCCACACTCTCTCTATATTACTCCTGCTCCCGAGATTTTTAGTTTAACACTCACATAGTCCATATGCAGATCGAATGAAACTTACGTTCTGTTGCTGTTTAATTTATTACCGTCACGCTTGAGCAATAATGAACAAAACTATGTGAGAATGCGAGTCCACGCTCCGCACTTGTCATTGGGTCAGCTAAACCCTTTTTGGCCAATTGCCCAGCCCCTTCTATGGTGGAATTGTTATTTATGCGCTTGGTCTGGCGAATTACCGCAATGTTTTGGCATTGGCGGCCATTTTGTTGCGGCCAGGACATGACACACGCCTGTCACTTAATATGCATTTCAAATTTATGCGATTACTCGCACATTTTAATGGTCGTCTATTTTTTATGCGCTTTGCCAGTTGTTTTAAATGCTTTAAGGCTTAGTCAGATTAATAAATTGGCATATTTGTAAAAGCATTTAATTGGGCCCATTGATCCTGCGCAGCATTACAGCCATGTGGCAAATCCTTTTCGATTTGTGCATGGCAAATATTTTGCCTGAGCAGTTGGCAAATACAACTGCAGTAACAAATATGTGTAAGTTATGCCCGGGCATAACTCAATATAATTAGATTCATGTAGTACCTGTTCCAGGTGACCGTTCGTTATCGCCCCAGGACTGCACCATTAAATAATAGCAAGGATTTATGTGCAAACATTTTGCTTTGCAAACAGCAACTGAATTTTGCTTATCCGTGTTGTTGGACACAGGTAGTGCAATGCATCTTGCCAAGGCAAATAGAAGCCTAACCAAAGTATTACACATAATTTTCAGCTGCTGCAAGCAAACACAACAAACGCACACACACACACACGGACATCAAGTGTTGTGTGCAATATGCAATTGCATTTATGCAATAAATGTTCGACCGTATGCCCGTCCGGGCCCCAACACTTTACAAACAGCAGCAGGTGGGCGTCGACTGGGGCAGCACCTTTTCCCTCTCCATTTCCATATAGTTTGGAGCATAGTCCAAATGCAACTTTCATGTACTTTGCTTGACGCACTGCAAAACAATGCAAACTCGAAATACATTTTCAAAATCAAAAACTAGTTTCTATTTTCTGCATTTGAACGTGAACTTTGAAACATGTTTGCTGAATAATTAAGATACTGTATATACGGATAGATAAAATCGGAAATGGGCATAAACTGCAATAGATAAGGCTTTAAATACATTCTAAATGCATTTAATATAATTAAATTCACATGCAATGCGATTAGTTTTCTCGATATTGAAACTGCTGTCATAATGGGAACAGGTGAAGGCAGCTGGTTTCCACGAAATCTTGACAAAGTGCAAAGGGAGAAGGTTTCACACTGTGTGAGGGGCAATCAATGCGAAATGATCCAAATGCTGCTGTTTCTATTTCTGTTGCTAGTCTCCAAACATCAGATCGTATCTATCAACTTGCGTTCCATTAACTCTGCCAATTAATATACTTATATATGTATTTGCTTTTATTTTTCTTGCATGCCATCGCCATCGCCTGTGCCGCTGCTCGCTCCCGCTCATAGGTATCCGATACCGTTGTGGAGCCGTACAATGCAACGCTCTCCATACACCAGCTGGTGGAGAACACGGATGAGACGTTCTGCATTGACAACGAGGCGCTTTATGATATCTGCTTCCGCACGCTGAAGCTCTCGTCGCCCACATATGGCGATTTGAATCATCTGGTTTCCGTAAGTGAATTTTAATCAAACAAACCAACTAATGTGTGTGTTTCGGTTTTGTGTTTGCACTCCATACCCTGTTCCCACAACATCCACGTCCACGTCCATGTCCACATCGTTGTTGTTGTCGTCCAGGTGTCCGAGGTGGTCGTTGAGCCATACAATGCGACACTGTCGGTGCATGAGCTGTGCGTGAACACAGACGAGACGTTCTGCATTGACAATGAGGCCTTGTACGACATTTGCTATCAAACTTTGCGCCTTGGCTCACCCACCTACCAGGATCTCAATCATTTGGTGTCTGTAAGTAAATGGCAAAGGATACAACAACAACTCGCTACCTAATTTCAGGAATAACGCCCGCAAACAAAGCCATCTATTCGTACAATCCCTCATAAAGAATCTCTTTCACATCTAGATCACAATGTCTGGCGTGACCACCTGCTTGCGTTTTCCTGGCCAGCTCAATGCTGACCTGCGCAAACTGGCTGTGAATATGGTGCCCTTCCCGCGGCTGCACTTCTTCATGCCGGGCTTTGCGCCGCTTACCGCCAAGGGTTCGCAGCAATATCGCGCGCTCACCGTCGCCGAGCTGACCCAGCAAATGTTCGATGCCAAGAACATGATGACCGCCTGCGATCCCAGGCACGGCCGCTACCTAACCGTAGCCTGCATCTTCCGAGGTGAGTGTTGAGACCTTTTTCCCTGATAAATGGCCGATGTTAGGGTTTCGCTCCACTCTTAAGTGGCGTTGACATGACTCGACAGGACGCCACGTGCTCTCTGACCTTTTGCTCGCGAAGCTCACGTGAAAGGTAGCCGCGCCCACAAACCAGCGGGCCGGGCAAGAAAAATAGTATTTTAACAACAGCCACACAATACGCGGATATGACCATGTGGCCAACTGTCTGTGTAGGCTTAGGCTTAGCTGTCCGCTGCGCAGCTAACGCGGCTTAGGACCAACTTTGTCGCTTTGTCATGGCCAGCAGTTGGCGCACCTGTCCGCTCGCTTAGGCAGGAGGCCCAGAGGCAGGCACGTAGCGCGCCTTTGCGACAGCGACAATTTTATTAGCAAACGCAAAGCCTACTTATGGGCGCCACTAGAAATGATTAATGCACGTCGACTGGCGGCTAAAAAGGCTGCAATCCGTCAGCGCGCACGTAGCGCAAATTTGTTTGTGTCCAGGCCGCGTCCCTACCATCCACCATCTTTTACCATGGGGAGGGGGTCACATTTTTTCGCGCTAATTTTTAAATTAATAAACTGCTGCGCTGTGGCGCCCAAAAGTATGCCGCATAATATATCATTTGTTATTCCTTGTGTGCCTAGCCAGCCGAATGCTCGAACGCCCCCGCGCCCCTGCCCGAACGCATTTCGCCTTTGACTGATGACTCGCAAAACGCGCGTAATTAGAAATTTACTTTCAAGATCCATTTGGGAATTGCGAGTTTCGGTCCCGGTCCCAGTCCCAAGCCCGCGACCGCCGCTTGACACGGCTTTTGGGCCTTAACTAATCATGCTGAACGTGACTTAAGGCTGCAGCGCCAATGCCTGTCGCAGGCCTCGCATCCCCGCGTTCCCGCGTCCGTTTGTCCGCGCTTGCAAAATAATTAATCACAAAAATGAGCGCCAGCCAGCTAAAAAAAAAACACAACCAACAAGAATTTAAACAGCTTTTTTAGTTGCCTCATGGGACTGTTTCTGTTGGTGTCCGTCCGCAGCCCTCCCACCTAAAGGCAGGCATCGGCACAGGAATAGCCCAGGTGGCCAAGTGAGCTGGCAGGGCTTAGAAGACGTTTAGTATTTCATATTCAGGGATTTGGGGATTTACTTGACGCTTCAAAGCCAGCTCCGCTTTTGATGTAAAAAAAAGCGAAAATGCGGAAAAACCGATGCCAGCAAAGTTCAAGTATTTTTACACTGCACTCTTAATAATTAACAGGACCCATGTCTATGAAGGAGGTGGACACACAAATGCTCAACGTGCAGAGTAAGAACAGCAGCTACTTCGTCGAATGGATACCCAACAATGTGAAGGTGGCCGTTTGTGACATTCCGCCACGCGGCCTCAAGATGGCGGCCACATTCATTGGCAACACAACAGCCATCCAGGAGATATTCAAGCGCATCTCCGAACAGTTTACGGCCATGTTCCGCCGCAAAGCCTTCCTGCATTGGTACACTGGCGAGGGCATGGATGAAATGGAGTTCACCGAGGCGGAGAGCAACATGAACGATCTGATATCCGAGTATCAGCAGTATCAGGTGCGACACGATCTACAGCTTACTTCTAACTTTCCTCACATAATCAATATACATTTACTCTTTCCAGGAAGCCACCGCTGACGACGAAGTCGAGTTCGACGACGAGCAGGCTGAGCAAGAGGCTTACGAGTCAGAAGCACTGCAAAACGGCAATGCCTAAACAAGAACTCGACACTTTCGCGTTTTACTTGTTATCTGCACGATAATCTATTAGACTAGATTTTCAAACATGCAGACACACGGAATGAAAGTTAATAAACAGTAAACATAGTATTTCATTTTCTGTACGCCAACTTTGTATTAATTTTTGCGTGAACGACTTGGACAAGTCGCTGCTTAAACCAGTTAGGAATTTTAAGTGTGGCCTTGACTTTAACTAAATTGTACCTCGGACGAGAACATTTGCGGACGGACATAGTATATAGTACAAGGCCCCCTGAATACCTATCTGGACTTGTTACTTTGCTATTCATATTTTGATAACATTTCGACCTGCTCTCAACTATTTTGTGAATGTTACAGATATAGCTACATCCTGTAGCTTTTATGCAATGCGTATATGATAAAAATGTTTGTGAAAGATTGATTAAACTCACCAACTATTATTATCCTCCTATCCTATTTTGACAAAAAGCTTTTTAGAATCTGGTTACTTTATCTTTCTCCCTCGTGGTATTCACTAAGGATCCTTCGATCCAAACGCATACATTCTGTCCCTTCCTGTGTGTATTTCCTATATATATTTTGATCCTATCCTTGACCTTACATTCCACGAATTACATATCCGTTTGAAAATTGTGTCCACCATGCAGGATTTTATTGGGTCATTAGACTAACACTATAGTGGATAGTTGAGCAGAACATCCTGTCGTGCCAGCTCCAACAACATGGGATCGTCGAAGAACTTGTTTATAGACACGTCCTCGGAGAGACCCTTGCGCCGACGTGTCTTGATCATAAACTCACGAGCCAAGTGAGAGGCTTGCTGTGGCTCCAGCGGCCGTATGACAATGCTCTTGTCCAAGGGATCGCCTGGTACGATTTGCCAATGATGGAAAACAGACAGACAGAATGCCTGACCTTGGGTGTGAGTCCGCAGATCTGTTTCAAACCCAAACGAATCGATGGCGGGTATAAAGGCTTTGATTGTATAAATGGGCGAGCCAGAAACAGGCGCATCCTGCGTAACGTGACCTCTGCAAACACATAGAAAATGAGTGTACATCAAAAAAGATGTCATAATTTCGAATGACTTACCTGCGCCGCGCGAGCACAGTGTATACGGCAGATACACAATCCGCGGGTGCCTGCACCTCGACAAATAGATAGGGCTCCATCAGACGGGGCGTGGCCATGAGGAAAGCCGAGTAGGCGACACGACGTGCTGTGGGAATGATTTGGCCGCCACCACGATGCAGTGCCTCATTGGCTATGACCGCATCTAGAATTTTAAACTTGACATTACGTATGGGCTCCTCGCAGAGCGGTCCCTCGCGCGTGCCCCACTGAAAACCTTGCACGATTGAATCCTTAACCGCAGTCAGTAGATTTTTGTCCACCTCTGAAGGCAAAGTATCATCCACCAGGATGTTAGGTCCAGTACTATCCGGACCGAATGCCCAAATGGAACGTGCGGCCAGCAAATCCCAATCGTAGTTAACTTGAAAGAATTCGCCAATGCGCTTCTTATTCCAATTAATGCAGACAGTCTCGTTCTCGATGTCCTCGGCCAGCCCCTTCTCCAGCGGCTCCGATATCATGGTAATCTTATTCTTTTTGTTTGGCGTTTCCGCGAAACACTTCAAGGAACTGGTCTCCACAACGGTCTCACAAAATGCCACCACTGGATCGGCCACCTTGATGTCAATCTCCGAGTACATCTTGCGTAGATCATGCATGACACAGTCTAGGTAGAGCTCGCCCGTGCCTAGGATAACGTGCTCACCCGACTCCTCAACGCGGGTGGAAAGCAGAGGATAAGATTTGTTTACCTTACGCAGACCGTCCAACATTTTTGGCAGCTCTGAAGGATTCACCGGCTCCACAGCAATCTTAATAATGCTTTGAGTGTTAAACTTGAGCGGCCGGAATATATAGAGATCCTCGGGAACATGAATGTCCACGATGCTGGATGTTTTCACAATGCACTGATCAATGCCCTCGATGAGCACCCAATTGCCTGAGGGCACACGATTCAATTCAACTTTGTAGCGAGCTTCATAGACCCAGAGCCTGCCTACTTGGAGAATGCGCGAATCTTCCTCGTCCTGCAGTGTGTAGTTCTCGCCTAGCACACGCACCTCCTGCCCGGCATGCAGTGTGCCGGACACAATTCGTGCCAGCACCTGAAAGAAGGTGCAGTCGTCGTTGGGGTACATCTTAGAGCTGTGCACCATCAGCGTGCCGTACTGATTGCACGTAATCATGTCACGGTAAATATCGCCCTCCTTGGGGCCCGTGTAAATGTGATCCACTTTACGCTTGGCATTCTCCAGCGGTGACTTAATGTGCTCCACGCACATATCCACAAAACCGCTGCAATCGCCCATAAAACGATTGCAAACCACGCGCAACAATGGCCGTATATTGGACTTCATCTCATCTTTGGATACTCGCACATGCAGCTCCGACAAGGTGTCGGCCAACGTGGTGTCTACATCCCCCACAACTTGAGCAATCAATTTATACATAGGCTCCAGTATGAACTCCACAAAACTGCGCTGAGCAGAGCTATGCGGTGGTTTCTTAGTAAATTTGCGCCTGTTACGATATAAAGTGTTCATTTAGGAACATTTTGGTAGCTTTTTAATCCATACTTACGACTTGCTATGGAAATACATATCACCCCAGAGGCGCTTAGCAAACTCATTGTAGTTGACGCCCTCATACGTGTCTGCATAGAGTTTTGCAAAGGACTTTAAGGTGAAGCAAAACCCATACAAGGAGCTTGCAAAGCAAACGTTACCCAGTACGGGGGATACCATCAAATTATCATCCGCGCTGCCATAGGTGCTGCAATATAAACAGAGTAGCATTTAAGAAAGATTCTTTATATAAATGCATTTGCCCACAAACCTCAACAAGCTGTTGACTTCCTCGACAATGTGCTTAAGCTTAAAGTACGCGTCCTGTGGCGGCAATTTGAGCTCCAGGATTAAGCGATCGATCTGATATAAGAATAGAATATAAGTACTAAGTAATTATACTTTCATAGATCAAGCAGAGTACGCACCTTGTTGATGCACACAGTGATGGCCAGTCGCTCCTGCACAGCATGCTTAAGCAGGCGTTCGGTGTTTAACATCACTCCCTCGGATGCATCAATAAATAGCACCACGCCGTCACTCATGCGCATGGCGGCGGTTGCCTCATCTGAGAAATTAACATGACCGGGCGTGTCGAATATGTTTAGCAAGTAGCTCTTTTGCTTGACGTCCTGCAGAACAAGCGTAACCGGAGTGGCTTTAATGCTGCAACCACGCTCCTGCTCTGTGAAGAGCGTATCTGTGTACCGCAGTGATCGTTCCTCCATATTCTCAAACTGAGGATGCGTTTGACGGATTAGACAATCCACAAATGTGGTCTTGCCGTGGTGCAAGTGACCAATTAGCGCCACATTGCGAATCAATGGTGGAGTGTCCATCAGATCAGCCATGAATTCCATATCATAGGTAGTTTCGGGCAGATCTTGTTCTTTGATCTGAAACTTTAGCTTTTTCACGGGCTCAATAAGCGGCTTGTCCAATGGTTGTGCATCCTCCTCCTGCACAATTGTCTCCACATCCGGCCCATACACCTCAACGGCCGATGGATAATAACGTTTGTCCTCATGCAGCACAACAGCCGTCACTTCTTTGTCTTCATCATCTTGTGGCTCCGCTTCGTCCTCATCCATGGCATCCTCCTGCAAAAAGTAGCATATTAGCATTGGAATAGTTTTCAAATTGAAGAACTTACATCTTGATCATCGTGCACATCGGGCTGACCGTAAATGCTCTGGTCATCATCCTCATCGCTGTCCAAATCGGGCCCTATATAGTTGCCAAACTCATCATACAAATCGGAATCCATTCTGCAATATATACAAGCACACATATATATCCTTAATAATGGAAATACATTTTTTTCCTAATGGAAACATGGATCACCCTTATGTATGTATATGTATGTATGTATGTATGTATGTCCCCAATTGCTAAACGTTTTCGTGGTACAGCCGGCATAGCTAAAACAGCTTTACTGGACAAAACAGTTACTTACCTCGACTATAAAACCGTTGTTATTGTCGCTAATTTAGTTTTTCTTCAATTTACAACACCTAATACTTCTTAATTATCAAATTAAAAATATGCTCAACAAGAAAACGCGGAATACGACGCACGCCACTCTTCTTCTTTGAAACTAATCACACAGCTGACCGGCAACAGTGTGACCAAAGCAAACGAATGGCGGCAATTAGTAGTGCTGCCAACTGCACTCAATGTACATGTGAGGTAGCCCTGGCGCGAAACCAAAATTTAAATGGCCACTTGTCTGTTATTTTTTTGCAGCCGTCTGCACCATAATTACCTTGGCCATCCCTCAGCAGCAATTAAGACAGGTAACAAATAGTTTTGCAGGATAGCTCAGGTAGGTAACCAGAGATTTCAATTATGCGACAACTTGTTAGGCTAAATAGTCAACTGAGTTACTTACGCACAAGCACATCAAAATGAATGTGTGGCTAGTTTTGTTGTCAGTTTTATATTCAACTACCATTATTTTTTGTAAAGTTTTAACTGTTGAAAACTCAATTACTTTGCCGAACAAAATTGGCAGTCGCGAAGACTGGTTTATATTGTCCAAGTATTACGCCAGCATTCACAAACCTTATAATGTGAAGAAATATGTGCCTTACAAGCCTTCAAACAAGACAACCACAGTGGAAACTCCTTTAACATCAACAACGATCCATATCAGCACCACGGCACTGCCAGAGATCACAACTCAGAGATCGCGCACAAAAGGCGATCAGATCGAACAGACTAGTGAAACGGGAATTGTTGAAACAAGTACTTTTGAATCTACAACTGAAACCTCGACGAGCACCACAGAGATGCCCGAAATGTCCACCTTATTGCTGTCTATAATTGGGAAAACGCCAGGCATTGAAACTAGCACCTCATATTACGCTGCTAAAGTCGAGAGCAGCGAACAGCAATATTTAAGTTCTACAATCGAAACAAGTTCAATGATTGATGTGGCCATTTCAACTACTACAGCATCGCCTGAGCCTGAAACCACGACCGAGCTGAGAGATTCGACCTTCCAGCCGCATAACGAGGCAAGCTACACAAGCGAAGCTCCTGCAACGCCTCTAGATGTCACCACCGGAATCAACTTTGCTGCAGTTTCCAAATCAACCCCGCCAGAGACGTCAACCGATGTGGGCGATACGACAACACAACTTTCTATATTCAACATCGAAACACCATCATCCGTTGAAGACACCACTAATATCAACTGTTTGCTGCCAACAACGTCTTTTCAACAAGAAGCCACAACGGAATCGGGAGCTACAACAACCTCGTCGGAGCCGGACACCACAACAGACGAGGCAGATACGATAACCCAACTTCTTGTAACTACAACCCAATCACCATTAACAACATCATCTCCAGCCGAGACTACAACAGATACGACAACTCAACTTTTTATAAACGTAGCCCAATCAACACTAACAACATCTTCGGAACCGGACACTACAACAGACGAGGCAGATACGACAACCCAATCAACATTAACTTCATCATCTGAGCCGGAAATTACAACCGAAACGGCAGAGGCAACCACACAAATACCTATATCCACAACCCGAACAACACTATTAGAAAATACAACTGAAATACCATTTATTCCGACCAGCACTATTGCTTTTGAAAGCACCACCGACGCAGATGCCGGCGTTGAGATAACTACGGATGGGACGATGGCCACAACTTCCTCCGGAAATGCCATTCTTGTGGATGATATAATCCAGGCTAAGCCGCGAAAGTTGACATATTCTTCAGATGTAATGCCCGAGATGGAATGGTATTAAAATGCAGAAATTAAATAGAAACATTTTTTTGATAACAAAACTATTTGAATGTGCTATTATTAAAAGGAATAAAATTTAAAAATAAAAGAACTTTAAACCACAAACAACTGGGTAGCGTTGCCAGACTATTGTATCGAATTTACCAGGGCTTCCATTTCAGAGGCAAACAGCAGAGCAACATTTTCTTGCATGCAGCCCTAGCAGCAGCTCAAACCAAAAATATTAAAAATGTTTAAATTAACAAGGATACTTGCTAGAAATGGTGACTGAAATACAAATAAATTGAAAAAAAAACAAGTTAACTAAATGTTTTCCCATTAGTCACTGTGGCCAATTTGACGGGCACTCGAAGCATGCGCCCACGTTTGTATGCCAATGCTGCTGCCTTGAATGAGGAGGAACAAACGTCGACGGCACCAAACCCGGACGAACCGATTGACATAGCAAATCCCTATGAAAAGGATCGTCAGCTGTGCATATTGTGCAAGCACAACGTAACACCGCACTACAAGAACGTGAAGCTACTGTCACAGTTCCAGTCACCCTATACGGGTCGCATTTACGGCCGCCACATAACCGGGTTATGCAAGCGAAAACAGGAGGATGTCGAGAAGGCCATATTACGCGCCCAGCACTGTCTAATGATGCCTGGATACCACAAGGACTTGGACTTCCTGCATGATCCCAAGCTATTCGACCCGGAGAAGCCTGTGCGGCCACATAAATATTAGACACATGATTTACATTTTGTTTGGTTTGCCGTTTCTTTTTGAACGCAGCGAAATACATCTTACAATTAGCAGTAAGAATACATGTGTGTATTGTACGTTTATCAGTCTTCATCCAGGTACTTGAGCATTTCTAGAGGTATACCCAGTTGTGTAAGCAGCGTTTTCTTAGCAACTCGTGGCACAACCAACGCCTGCAAATCATCCATAGCCGCAGCAAAACCATGTTTCCAAGTCTCTATGTCTGCCTCGAGCTCAAGTATTTGACGTTGTCGCCAATTGTCAAGATGTGAGTTTGCAGTTTCCTCAGAGGGCTTCGGGTCGGGCTTCTTAGGCACGAGCTCGATGGTGTCAGCAATGGCAAACTCCAATCTTTTCTTAGTTAGGTCCTTGCGCTTGCGTGTTAAGCCAGGACGTCGGCAGATTGTCGAGTTCGCCTTTAATTTCACCGGCAATGCGCGTGGAGTTTCGACAGCATCAACAGAATCTTCATTTTTCTCGTCTTCTGATGGCAGCGTTGCTGTCCTCAGAGTTTGTTGTAAACGTATGCCAGGCGTTGTGTCAGCTCTTTTGTGCAATCTTAATCCCAAACGACGCCTCGGCCGTGGCGTTACATCAGGCGTCTCAGCCATCCAGGAACATTCAATTTGTCTAAAGAAAGCCTCGCCAATATTTACAGTTGTTTCATTTGCAGGCGTTGCCAGACAAACAAATAATACAGCAGTATGACGCATACACACACACACACACATGTATAAATTAACGCATATCGTGATGAAATTCCAATGTCCCTTTTACAGGTTTGTATGAAAGCGTTTTAGGCCTTGGATAATAAACAATAGTCACTTTCCCATTGAAGTGTTTTGCAAAATGTTACACTTACCAAATAAAAACAATCTTTTTTTTTTTTAATTTTATTTATGTTATGAATATATAAACTTCGCGCTTCATCTCGTCCTTCCAATTGGGGGTTGTATAAAGTCTACAAAAATTATGCGCTCTTTATCTGCCCTATGATTATACATGTACTATATGTAAGTTTAATCGCAATGCCGACTAAATGTGACCTGATACTGATAATTGGGGAATAAGTATTGATTCCACCATTCCAAGTGTATTTTGGCTTCGAATAAAAATCTCAGCACTTGCTAAAATCGACGCTGATATGATTAGAAATTATTCTATGAACTATGTGTACGAGCTTACGAACTTAATAATCATAAATGAGAATACACAAATTAAAAAAAAGAGAAGAGAAACAGGACGCCATATACGACGTTCCGCTCTGCTCCGCTGCTATCCGAAAATTGAAGATTGGCAACAAAAATTCTTACAAACGAACCTAAGTATATTGAAGCACTAGAATACGACTATTTTGTATGGGCAGGCACGACTACGGTAGCTTGTGATAGCGCTCCACGTCAACGCCGCGAAAAGTGACTTTGCAGACGCACTGCTGGGCCGTCGACAGCATGACGAGGCACTCGCGGCAGACCAGATGACGACAAGTGCGTATCTCGTAGGCAAACTGTCCACTGCGGCAGTTAATGCAGCTGGGTGGCTGCTGCAGAGCCGTGCTCACTTGGGTGTAGCGGGTGATCTTCTGCAGAGTCTGCTGTAGCGCCTGGTCAATGGAAGACGTTGGGCCCGCTGCGGCTGACGTTGTCGGCGTTTGATTGGCGCTGCTAGCAGCGGTAACAGTAGAGCTAACTGTATACGTTGAGTAGCTGTGTCGCGGCCGCTTAGCAGCTGGCGGCGAGGTCGGCGAAAGGGAACCTGAGAATGCCGATGTGGCCGTGGCAGTGACGGTTGACTTGGTCTTGCGCTGCTGCTGGTGCTTGTAGCCGCTGCTTAGTGAGGAATAGGTGCCGACTGCCATGCTGCCCGGCAGGCACATGTGGCTGGCAATCTGAGATGCGTGGCGACGACGCATTCGCGAGCTGCCCAGTAAACGCGGCACTGATTTAAAGTGCTCCGAGTGCTCCATTAGAAACTTTTCGATGCGCGCCTTGAGCGCCAGGTTTAGTATTGCTTTGCGTTGTGAGGTATATTCAAGTCCCGTAAACGGATCGGAAGGCAGGCGACCCCATTTGGCCTCCTCCTCCGAGTGCTTATCTATAGTAGATTGGTCGACAACCTTGCCGGATGGCAGCACCGTGGGAAATATCTACAAGAAAATGAGGCGAAGAGAAAGAGGGGGAATCTTAAAGGAGGACGCGCAAAGGCTTAAGCTACGCACCATTAACTCCCAGGTGATTGAGTCGAGAAACTCCTCTGGTATCTCCAGCATCGATTGTTCGCGCAGTTCGGGAATGTGACGCGAAGGCGAACGCTGGCCTGCCTGCTGCTGCTGTGCTTGGTCCCTGAGTCCATAAGGATCGCTTACCTCGCTCCATATGGTTTTCATTAGCTCACGATCAGCTTTATCCAGGCTGCGAGCGGGTAGACCCCACATTTGTATCTTGCGCAATACGGGAGGACAGCGCTCGGTGGCACGAATGACAATCTTCACGCTGTTCGTTGTGCCCAGTATCTTGTGGGCCGTCTTGAAGAAGAACACTTTCTCGCTCTGCTGCTGTGCGGCTGCGGCACTGCTGCGCGAGTTATAATCGCTTTGATAGCAAAAGGTAACAGAGTCCATACCCTTGGGAAGGTCACGCACGTAGGCAACGCGCTCCCAAATGCCGTCGTACTTGCCATGTACCTCGAAGCCAGTGGAACGCAATGCACCAGAGCTGGGCCATAGTTTAATCACCTTCAGATCGATAGCTTTGGGAAAATCAAAGACAATCTCGACGGGCGGCTTGCAGACTTGAAAGCACATAAAGCCTCGCTCCATCTGCTCCGCATCGTCGGCTATGAGATTGGCAGCTGTATAGCCATCCTCGCAGACAGCGTCGCATTCCACAGAGGGTTTAAGTTTCGGATTGAGAAAGTTGATTAGACTACTCATTGAATGCCTGTGTGTGTGTTCCCGTTCTCTTCTGTGCTCTGCTATTGGTCACGCGGCGTTGCCGTTGCGTCTGCTTCGCCCCACCTGCTCTGATTTTTTTTCTGCTAATTTGCACAGAAAATGGCGTCACTGGCTCCTGTGTTTGCTATCGTCGTTTACAATTACTCACGCCTCTCATGCACGCTCGAAATTACCAACACACGCGCAATGAAGCGTTTAAAAAAACATTGAATTTTGTATAATTCGTTCGTTTTTCTTATAATTTTCCAACAATCCTTGCCTTTTTGCAGATATTTTCTGCCCTTTTTCTTCTCGTCTTTTAATGGCTAATAACTCAGCTGTTTAGAATTATGATGCCAGCTGCCTCAGCTAGGGTTGCCATATGTGCGCATAGTCATACACTGCCAAGGCATGTCTGGTATTTTTAGTACACAGCGGTATTAAAGCGCAGATTTTTTAATATAAACTTGGTGTCTATTCTTTTCTATGGTGCCTATGCATTTTTTTTAATAGAAGTAGATTGTTTGGCTTGACACACTTGTGCAAAGATATTTAAAATTATGTGACCACATTTATAATTGCTTATATTAAATTGATTATATATTAAGCTTCGACTGCCGATTATTTAATGAGTATTTTTAGTACACAGTAGAAAAAAGCGATAGTCACAAAAACAACTATCGAAACTGAACGTACTGCTACTTAAAAAGGTTTCCCTTCGGAAGCATAGTATATTTAAATATATTGGCACGTTTACAATACATTCTCTCAAATATCATTGAAAGTGAGTTTTAAACCGATTGGACAGTAAACAAAAAACTTGAACATAACCGTTTCCTGCCAACTTGCCACTGTTGTGGGCGAAATTTTATAAAATCGCTGAAACACGAAATCCCCTTTATCGACTGCTTGTAAACGGGGAAATTTATCGGGGAAATTTACTGCGCGGTCGCGCTCAAAATGTCATGTCTCTAGCTCTTATAGGTTCTGAGAGCGACGCGTTCGTTCAATAGAAATCAAGTGTTAATACTATCTACTTTTAAGTTCTTACTATTGCCAGCAGATTGCAGATATTCATTTATGATTTAGTTTTAACTATAAGATTAGTTTATATTATATATATATGTAAATAAAAATTTCTCTAGGCGCTGAGTCCACGGGCGAAAAATGGCTGGAAAAATTATATCTACTTATAATAAGAAGCACGAAACTTGCCAATATATTTCAATAATTCTTATCTATTATTAGTTGTTCACGGGTACTGGGAAAGCAATAAAGAATTCCAAATAAAAATATTTGAATGATTAATTTTATTAGCTCTAAATCGCTTTTAGATACTGAAGCTATAGTTAGTCAAAGTGATTAGCTTCACTTCTGATTATGCATGGATCTATCCTTATCAAGCACTTCAGAGTGATAAAAAGTCAGTGAATGGGCAGCGCAAGCTAATGATAACGGCCTTTCGAAACCTATAAATTGGACCCCAGGTGCGGCAGCTTTTTTAGTGGATCAGCAAATGCCATGAAGTGTTTGCTTTTGGTGTTTTGCAGTGTTATTGCCGCATCTGCGGTTAACCTGCCAGGAGTGCCAGTGGACTTCGACTTGGACAATAAGGTGCTGTCAGCCATAGCCGATGATGTGGCTGGGCGTTTGGAGCAGGAGTACATGACCTTTTGGAAAACAGGAGTCGAAACACCGGCATTTAAAAAGCTAACACAACAGCTGGCCAAGGCGCATACCAAAAAGGACATATTTACCAAAAATCTGCCCGAACTGGAGGCGCGCGATAGCTTTGTGGTCTGCACACTATGTCGCTCGGTTATGAACGTGTTCATCCGCGCCGTACGCGAGGAGGATGGCGAGTTGAATGGCGAAAACAGCGCAGCGATAATGAAGGACATTGCGATGGATGTGTGCAAGCGCATGGAGCTGCAGACAGCGGAGGTGTGCGAGGGCTTGATCGACTTCAATCTTCCCACTTTTGAATACATAATGCGCAACTCGGAAATGGATTCGCAAAGCTTCTGCTCGCTCTTCATGGAGGTCAGTTTCTGCAATACGGGTACCAATCCAGCCTACAACTGGACCCTCACCGTGGACAACAAGGTTGAAGAGCTCAGCAGCTCCAAGTCGGACACACCACATCAGAGCGACAATGACTTCAAAATATGTCAGTTCACTGACATACACCACGATCCGCTATACGAGCCGGGCAGTCTCGCCACCTGCGCTGAGCCAATGTGTTGCCAGCGTGAGAAGAGCACCACGGAGGGCACCAGCGATGCTGCAGGCTTCTGGGGCGATTATCGTAACTGCGATTTACCCTGGCGTGCATTTGAGTCGGCGCTGGATCATGCAGCTAAAACTGTGGACTGCACATACATCTATCAAACTGGCGATGTTGTTGATCACATGGTCTGGGCAACGTCCGTGAAGAAGAATACTGAGGTGTTGACCAAGGTTAGCGATCAGTTTACCAAGGTATTTCCAGAAGTGAAAGTTTATCCTTGCATTGGTAATCATGAGCCTCATCCACTCAATCTGTAAGTAGTCTTCAAATACTCCCCAAGATCTTCCTCTTAACTTAAGCAAATTCCGTACAGCTTTAGTCCCGAAGGAGTGCCGGATGAGATTAATACCAAGTGGCTGTATGAGCACTTGTACAATGACTGGTCCAAATGGCTTCCAGCAGAGACAAAGCAGACCATTCTGAAGGGTGGCTATTACACGGTTTCGCCAAGAAAGGGTTTCCGCATCATTGCACTGAATGGCAATGACTGCTATACGGACAACTTCTGGCTGTACCACAGTGGCAACGACAAGATTCCACAGCTGCAGTGGTTCCACGACACACTGCTGGCAGCCGAGGCTGCCGGTGAGTATGTGCATGTCCTGACCCACATACCCTCGGGCGATGGTACCTGCTGGTCGGTGTGGGCTAGGGAATATAACCGCTGCATTACCCGCTTCCACAAGACCATAAGTGGCATCTTTAACGGTCACTCGCACAAGGATGAGCTGGCGGTGCACTATTCGGATGAGGGTCACGCCACGGCTGTTGCTTGGAATGGTGGCGCCTTGACCACATACAGCTACAAGAACCCCAATTACAGGGTATACTCAGTGAATCCGGACACCTACGACGTAACCAACCATCAAACCTACATTTACGACTTGAACGAAGCTAACAAGAAGCCCGACGAGCAGCCCAATTGGTTTTTGGAGTATGACTTCAGCAAGGAATTCACCGAGGATCTGAGTCCTGCGGGCATTGACAAATTGCTGGATGAATTCGCAGACAAACCAGATCTAATGCGCAAGGTAAGTGCCAGAGTGGGAACAATTACGCCCGCATATTTATGTTTATGTCAACTCGTCTTCCAGTATTGGCGCTTCAGGGTGACCTCGGCGGAGCCCAAATTGACTGAAGGCTGTGGTCGCGATTGCCTGGCCAGTTCGCTCTGCCGCGCTGCAGTCACGGTGAACAACCAGCGGGAACGCTGTGAGGAGCTAAGGACACGTCTCTTTGAAGCCGTAAGTTGTTCCCCCCTATTATCAGCCATTCAGCTTAATGAACTTATGACCCCCACAGCTGGACAATGAGGAGAGCAAGCCTGAAGACCAGGATGATGGAGCCGCTGCGCTTAGCGTTTTGAGCCTTGGCTCGCTGTTGGCTCTGGTTCTCTCCGTGAGAATTGGCTTCTAGAGACTTTTATCTATAATATACTATTGATAAGTTATATAATCGCACATTCCATTTTATTTTTTTAATATTACGATTAAGTGCAAAATCCAAAATACATTCATATATACACACGCACACGCACACACTCAGCGTTGTTTGTGCCAAACGCCTTTGTTAATCTATTGTTTTTTTAATCTCCTATCGCCTGCCATAGAATGCACATGTGGGGCCTGTGTCCGGGCTAAAACTATGGGTTAACTGATTAGGCTTAACATCATATTAGCGAAAATTGGCCAATAAAGCCATAAACTGTTGCTCATGTCATATATAACAAAAACTTTAATATTAATGGATATTTTATTGCCCAAGTCAGATCATATCGCGCACAATCATTTTTGCACGTGAATATTAACGTCAATCCACACGCATATAGTTTCTCATTTTTAAAATATACTAATATATGCATAGGACAGTGTTTTCCAAATTGCGACAACTATTTCAAATAGCTGCTCTTGGAACAATTGGTCAAAAGTTGAGGTTTGGCAGTACTAATTGATTTGGTTTAGTATAAAATATATTGGTAGTCCGGGCTTGAACTAGCCTGGCTCCTTAGATAATTTGTTTACGAGGGAGTCAAATCTTCCACATTGCCGAAGATAGAGATTCTTTGTTATTGTCTTTCAGAGTGATAATCAGTCTGACTAATGTCAAATCAGAATTTGAAGTGGTCAAGTTGCTGTCAAACTCTTAGCCCTGGCTAAGTAATTTATTAAGTATAGCAAGTATTAAGTTTGAGATATTGTGAAGTACATGCGATTGAGAGACAATTAGGGCTGTAATTTCCTTAACTATTTGTGGTAGTAAGAGCTAATTGTGTGTAGCCACGCCACTTGCTTATCAATTACTATAGAAATCTCTTGTTTGATTGTATCAATCATGATACTACGCAAATAACATTTAAAGCGATTCGATAGCCTAGCGCTTGATAAGAATGTTGCCTATAAATACAATTTGTTCGCATTCCCAAACTTTAGTCTATGCCATATCGCCCTACCGCAATGTATATCCAGCGGACTCTTCTGCTGCTGGGCGTGGCTTCTCTGCTGGCTAGCGGCCAGGCACATAGTCTACCCGGTGTACCGAATAGCTTTACCACCGAGGAGCGGCTCACAGCTGCCATTTCAGGTGCGCAGTCTTCAATAACAACGGCTTATCGCATCAAATGGACAAGTTCAAGTGCGGCAGCTGTATATCAAGATTCACTACACACGTCTTTTCATTCACAGCCAGCGTAGCGGAAGAGATTAGCCAAGAGTTTGTGAAGTACCTGAAAACGGGCCTCGAATCACCCAGATTGCAGCAACTAGGCGCTGAGCTGTGCACGGCACACAGCCAGAAGGATATTTTTACCGAGTCACTTGTGGATTTGAGTGCAGCCGATCAATATTTTGCGTGCACACTCTGCCGCGCCACAGTCAATGTGATTGGACGCACATTTACGGGGCCCAATGGCGAGCTCACTGGACCAAATCGCGATGAGAATGCAAAGAAGACATTGCTTAGCATTTGCGATTACTTCAGCATTCAGACGCCGGAGGTATGCTCCGGACTATTCGATCTCAACTGGCCGATTCTCGATTACATCTTCAATGAAACAGTTGCCGAGGCGCAGAGCATTTGCGGCATGCTGCCCATTAAAATATGCCAGCTGCAGCAGCCGGAGTACAGCCTAAACTTGACCATTGTCGGCGAGATGCCCACGGAATCGAACTCTGCATTGCCCGAGCGCAGCGAAAATGATTATCACGTGCTCCACCTAACCGATATCCACTACGATCCGGAGTACAAGAGCGGCAGCTTGGCGGACTGTGCGGAACCCATGTGCTGTCGGGATCCCCTGCCAGCTGACGCCACCTCAACTGGCGCTGGCTACTGGAGTGACTATCGCAATTGCGACACGCCCAGGCATCTGATTGTGAATGCCTTCGAGCACATTAGCGAGAATCACAAACTGGATTGGATCTATCACACGGGCGACGTGCCGCCACACAATGTGTGGTCCACCACGAGGCAGGGCAACATGGATATGCTAACAGAGATCGATGCATTGATCACAAGTCATTTTCCCGAAATTCCAGTCTATCCCTGTCTGGGCAACCATGAGCCGCATCCAGCGAATGTGTAAGTAGCGTCTCTTTGCTTTCAGTTCCCTATCATGTATTCTTCTCAGTTTTGGCAACGATGAGATACCCGACTCGCTGAGAGTTGATTGGCTGTACGAGCACGTCTGGAGCCTATGGAAAAAGTGGTTGCCCAAAGAAGCTGAGGCAACCGTACGCCGTGGTGGCTACTACACGCACTCGCCCAAAGCAGGACATCGCATCGTTGCGCTCAACAGCATGGACTGCTATCTGTATAACTGGTGGGTCTTCTACAACGGATCTATTGTGCTGGAACAGCTGCAGTGGTTCCACGACACGCTGCTTGCTGCTGAAAAGGCCGGCGAACATGTGCATGTGCTGACACATATACCCTCGGGCGATGGCGACTGCTGGACGGACTGGTCCAGGGAATACAATCGCATTGTGGCTCGCTTCAGCAAGGTCATAACGGGCATCTTCAATGGGCACACGCACAAGGATGAGATGAATGTTCACTACACGGAGACGGGCCTGGCTGTGGCCGTCTCCTGGAATGGTGGCAGCCTGACGAGCTACTCCTACATGAATCCCAATTATCGTGTGTACGAGCTGCATCCGGAGACATTGCAGGTGCTGGAGCATCACACTTATATACTCAATCTGACCGAGGCAAATCTCAAGCCCGATGAGCCGCCCATTTGGCACAAGGAGTACGAATTTGGACAACAGTTTACTGCGAACACAAGTCCCGCTGGCATTGACGAGCTGCTCGAGAAAATGGCCAAGCAGCCGGATATTCTGCGCAAGTTCTGGCGCTACAAGATGACCGAAGCGGATCCAAAACTGGCTGCCGGCTGCGATGACAGCTGCCTGAACACCACCCTGTGCCGCCTGGCGACCAGCAACTACAAGGAGAGACAGCGCTGTCGCGAGCTGCAGGCCATACTCAAGGATAGTGTAAGTTGTTCTGGCTTTGATTATTTAATCCTATTTTGCTCACCCACCATGTTTTCTGTGTCTGCAGCTTGACAAGGAGAATCCCGAGCAGCCGCAGGACGATGGTGTCGCCGCACTGGCGGCTTACAGCTTCACCAGTCTGTTGGGTCTCGTGTGTGTGGTGCGATATTTGCTTTAGCTGCCAATTGAACCATCTTTAATCTTTGAACAGTGGCTGGCCAGTGCCCTATCTTTGTTGGCTGTCGCACAATGATTATAGTTGCTTTTTTATGGCACATCGTTATTAATTAGTTCGATTAGCAGCGCGTCCATAAATTGCGCCATAAACCGTGGCCAATGGCTGGCGAGCATAAAGCTCCCGTTAACAGAAAAAAAAACAAAAAAAAAACCACTTTGTATTTTTAACATTCAGAATTTTTGATATACACATATAATTACATAAAATTTCTTTTTGGGTTTTTCGCTATTTAGTTTGGCATGGGTGAATACTTTGTGCTTGGATTGGATTAAGCGCTACAATAGAATCCAAGCTGAATGGGTTGGGGTTGTCTTTACTCCTGCCTTTGTACATACATATCCAACCACATACATATTTACAAACATGAAATTGTAATCATTGTGCCGGACTCGTCCCTGTTATCATCCATAAAGTTTGCCGCTTAGAGTGCACACAGCAGCGTGGCAATGTCCAGATCGTGCTCGTCGGCCTTGCGTATGATAACGGCTGCCTGGTTCTGGTAGCGGCCCGTGGACACCAAGCGCACACTGGTCACGCCGCAGAAGACAGCCTGCTCGGGTCCCAGCTCATTGGTGGCGCCGCACACGTCACTGGCCAGCTCCATGCCGGTGGTATCGAGGCCAGCGGAGCCGCCAATCTCTAAACGATCCTCGAACAGGTGACACTAAGAAGGATATGCTCCCGGTGAGAGCAAATACCAAAGACCCAGCTCATAATACTTACATCATAGTTGACCTTCTCCTGGGCACGCACGGCCTTGCTGCCAATACGCAGAGATCCTAGAGAGACGGCGGCCGGAAAAAGTGCGGATAAAGTGCAGTTGCGGGCGTGTCCATAGTTGGACATCTTGTAAACGGCGGCGGTGTCCTGGACAAGTATGTTGCAAGCTGCCAACAAAACGAGGTATATTAACAGGGGGATTAGATGATTCTGCACCTTTCTCCATGTCTCTCTTTCACACTTACGCTGTGTAATCTTGTGGAAGCGCACGTTGGCCACGAAGGAGCCACGTGTGGGTATGCGGTACTGCAGCAGTGCAGCATTCTGGCTGGAGCGGAAGAATTTCTTATTGCTGAAGCGTGGCCTGCAAGGGAGAGGATTATTGCAAAAAAAACCAGAAGATATGCCTGAGATATATCAATCTACCATTGCTTGTTGTTGTTGCAGAACTCGTAGACACGATCCTCGAGCACACGATGATGGTCCTTTACTGCCGGAAAGTATTCACCATTTAGCTCCCAGCCATCCACAAACTGCACCAGGATGATACATGTGAATGCATTACTACTGTTTGTGGTAGCCTCAGCAATTTACTGGCCACTTGCTACACTCACCGCCATTAGACCGCCCGACTCGCAATTGACGTCATAGTGCTTCATGGTTATTTCCACAATCGTGTCTGGTTCGCCAATCACATAGAGACCGCAAACGGACCCTGCGGCAGCTGCAGCTGCTGCTGCTGCCTCCAACTGGTCACCGGCGACCGCATCCAGCTCAAACAACGCCTCATCTCTATTGAAATTGAACGGCGGCGGTAGCGCTGCTTTCTTGAAGATGTAATCACCTGGCTCGGAGGCAACATGCATGCAATCTGAAACGGCAAAGCAAAGTAATTCGACTAGTGCCCACCCAGGGCAATGCCAGCTGGACATATGAAACCAATTTCGGCCAACTGTGTAAATTGCAAGAATTTGCAGCTACAGCTCAAATAGTTTGTTTTGCTTATTGTTTGTGTGTGTGTGTGGGTGGCTGGTCAAGCACTAATTAAAGTCCAATTGGCTTTCAAAACACACATGCAAATTGCAGCCACGTTTTGACCCAAGCTCGTAACCTGGCATTCCCCCAATTAATCTATCATACACAGACCTGCAGGCTGTCCAGCTGATGCCACTTAAGGCTCCGGCTATGGCTACAGTTGCCTGATTTATGGCGCGCATTATTAGCTCGATTTTGGTAACGCACACACAACAGCACACCCCCACACCCCCACACACCCACAGCCCCGCATACACATGCCTTTTGGTCAGCTTTGCGTTGTCATTTTATGACTGTTATCCCTGGCCGAAAACAATGAAACTTTAGTCTGTCTTTGACTTTTTCGCATGCCTGTCACACACGCAACTGTTGATGAGTGCGTGGGTGTGAGTCTGTCTACGTGAGTGTGTGTGCGTGTGTAGTCTGAGTGTATTTTGTGTGCAACTAACAGAATGACCATAAAATCGCTTACTGCGCACACAGTACTTTGTATTTGTATACCCTAACGGGAGGGTTATTAGGTTTTTCAAGTTGTAACAATAAAGTTATGAGAAATAAGCTCGACCGGATTATTTATTTACTTCCCATATGATTCCTAGGTTCCTTGCCACTAGCATTGTCAATTAATTTAATTACTTTTTAATATAAGTTTAAGTTTAATTTTAGTTCGATTGTTCACATACCCAAGCTTAATCCATAAGATATCCCAATCTCAAGTATGTGTAATTGTTTTGAATTTCTAATATTTATCTATTACCATTTAAAATAATCGGGATTAAATTATATATACTAGTAACTCTCTGTCAATATTTAACAAATTAAGATTATTAAGAAATAATTTGTTAAATATTAAATAATTAAAATTATTTTAACTAAGTGATCCAAAGAGGTTTTTAATTAAGCTGTAAATATTTTTATTATTTATAAATTAAATTAATTATATAAAGTGTTAATTTAATTTAATATTTCAATTTAGATTTCTCTAATAGCTGTCCTACATAATATGATGATGATATTATTTATTATACAAATCTTCTGAAAGGGTATTTACTGTTCATCATGCTGATAAACATTTTTTGTAGTCCCTATATGTGCAAGGGTATCTGTGAAAGTCCAGTTTTGTGTGAAGGATGCGTCTTTTAAGTGTGTGCGCGTGGGTTTTTTGGTCATTTGGCGCCTAATTGTTTATTATTTTTCCTAATTGCATTAAGTTGTCACAATTTGTTCGTTTCATTAATTCAATTGCCTGCGCCGAATAATTAAATGAACATTATGCATAATTGATAAATAACGACTTAAGTTTTATTTACAATTAATATTTATATGCATTAATGCATTTATTTATGTTAATTGACATTAGATGGTGTAATTGTGGACTGTCGAAATCACAATTCTAATCATTTATATCAAAAGGTTTGGCTGTGTATATTTTAATCTGAAAGATTAACTATTTAAGGGCATGACGAAGATTTAAGACCCGTATGCACATAAAAACTTTATTTCGACCAGTTATTCCTATTGATATCGACGTAAAAACTAGACGTGAAACCTATGAGCTATTAGTTGTAAAGCAATAACATACTAATAAGGCAAATATATACGTATTTCGTGTCATAATCTAGTCGATTATTTTAAAGGACTTTCAATTAGATACAGTATATATTTCCCGATTTACCAAGCTCAAGCTCATCAAAAACATATTAGAACTGAATTAAATGTTTGTATTTCTGACTGTATGCATTAGCATATTATTATAGCTGCTTTTTATTAATTTGTTCATAATTCAGACCTCAAAGGATGCTGTAATCTATGAATAAATTATCACGCAATTACAGTTTCAGCTTGTTTACTTGTCAGTTGCCCAGCAAAAGGCGCAAAAAAGTAGCAATTATAAATAAACCGAGTAAATACAAAGGTTGAGATTTGTCGAGCTACAAAGGGAAAATGGCAGCAAGGACTCAGCTGCGGTTGCCTTGCCAATCGCTGGCCGTTGGCCAATAAAGCTCGGTTATATTTATAGATGCTGTCATCTAGATTTACATTCAGTTTCCTTGATAGCAGTTGGTAAAATAGTTATTATGGCAAATTTAATAACTTGCCTTTCGTTGGAGTTTCGATTCAAATTTAATGGCTTTTGAAAGTGGCCACAGATTTGCTATGGCCACGTTAAGTGTATAATCCTGAATATATCAACTGAAGTGGAATTTGGTTTTATTTGCCCAAATGCGTTTTATGGTCAATCAATTTTGTAACTCTTATGCAAATAAATTACACATACATCATGCGGTTAGAGTGGTTGAAAAATAAAAAAACACTTGACAACTTGCAAGGAAAAGCAATTTAAAAGACAATTTAGCCAAACTGTAAATATTTTGTAACCCCTACACAAGGAAAAATTTGCAAATTTCAATTGAATGCTGAAAATCTAAATCTAGAACAAATCTACTTAGAGCTTTAAAGTCTTGAGTTGTCAGTCGGGGTATTGACAATATTATCATATCTTATCTATATCGAGCTTAAATGTAATCGACTTATGTTTTGATTTAGTTTTAGTCTATTTAGATTAAGATTGCCAAAGCATGTTAATTGGTTTGCAATTTAAAACCTGGTGCCTGAATAACTCGACTCTTTTGCTCAGTGTATAAACTCTTGACGTCCGCTAAAGTGCATCTCAGCCAACAGCACTTGACTAAAACTTTTACCTACCAATTTGTTGGCGCACTTCCCCTACACCCTCTCCCCCTTACGCGTGTTTGTATTTATGTGCCCTGTAATCTTACCTGCAATCCTGTGCTCGTTGTAGGGCATTGCCGCGGCTGGATATAGCTCAAAGGAGCGCTTCACAGTGGGCCAGGCCTGTGAAAAAGATTAAAAGTGTGAGACAAAAATAAAGTGCTGGCTTTTTTGAATGGTCGTTTTGACGGCGGCTGTCATTCAGCCGCTACAAAAGATACGCATTGAAAACGCGCCACAAATGCCGTTGATAAAAGCCAAACTCTAACTGCGATAAAATCAGCGGGCTGTCGAGCTAATGACAGCTTTTCACCAAGCAACAAATACCACAAGCGCAGCAGCAGTTACACCAAAAAAACTTAGTTGCGCTTTCTAGTTGGCTCAGATGCTAACAGCGGCCCGCTGTGTGACCCCTGGTCAGCAGGGCAACGGAACGTGCAGGTCAACGGCGGCTTTAAGCACAATGCAGCTGCCGGACAATCGACACTTTAAACTAAAATAAAACACCGATCCACTAGAACCACACATAGGCACATAACTTGCAGCTGCCGCTGGACTTGGCTGCATGGAACATGGAACACTCGGGTGGTTATCCGCCTTGAATTTTAAGCATTGCATATTTTTAGATTGGAAAACTCAAAACTTTATAAATAGCCACAAGCAGCAGCCTAAATCAAAAAACTTTGACCAAGCTGGGGGTCAAAAAACAAATCAAGCGGCTTTTGATTTTCTATTTGACGAGTGTATTAATACCCAGCATTCAATAAATATTTGGACTATTGGTAAGGAAAAGTTTTCGTTTTTTTCTTTTAGCTTTTTTAATTCCACAAAAAACAACCGAACTCAGTGAAGGCAGCTGCTCAATACAGTTCAGTCATATTCTAGCCAAGCACAGTCGACTAAAACATTTTGTTGTTTACTTTTTATACCCTGCACCCATTGAAACTGGGTAAAAAGTGTATAATGCTGTTGTGCAAATGCATGTAACAGGCAGAAGGAATAATCTTCGACCCCGTCCAGTATATATTCTGAATCAGCATCAATATTCGATTCGATCTAGCCATGTCCGTCTGTCTGTCCGTACGTATGAAGGATATCAAAAACTATAAGAGCTAGAGACTGAAATGTTGAACGTAATACCCCGCGCTGTACGAGTTTATTGCCGATGATCGATAACTTTTCCCGATTCTAAGCAATCGATAAAAATCAATATTATAAATCTCTGAGGTTTTAGGGCTAGACGTACCACACTTGACTGCAGCTTCAAGAATAATATAAACAGATAATATATCTTTATTGCGATTGGTTCAGGGTATCGCCTAGTCGGGCACATCCGACTAGAGCCCTCTTCTTTTGTTTATTTATGTTTTTTTTTTTTTTTTGGGGGTATTACTTTTACTTATTTCTAACAATTTTTTGTTACTCCCCTGATTGATAAAAGGTTTTATTCTGGGCGCTAATTGAAATTGTTTGGGGCTGGTCAACAGCCATAAGAGCGACGTTGGAATTGATAAATGAGGATTCGCAGGGCGTCGAGAAAAAATAATTGTATTTTCGGCCAAGTTTGGCGAATTGTTTGCGCAACACTCGAAAAAGCCGACACGATTTTGGTCTATAACGAGCTGGGCATGGTGAGTCTTATGCTTATGAAACTGTCAATTAGTGGCGGCTTTGTGGGCCCAACTTTAAGCTGCACCACACTCCCCGACACATAAGCAGCATTAACACACCCACCTACACACAGCTTGTATGGCCCAGTGACGTCATTAGTATTTGATGGGCGCATAAGCAAATTGAAAAGTCAATCGTAAGGTTGTTTAGCAATTCGCGGCATTCGTCAAAACTGATGACAGCCAGTAAATAAATGATAAATATGATCCCTTTGAAAACACTCGACGCCAGCTCATTTGCATAATAACATTCTCGCTGCATGGGATACGATGTACCAGGGACAACAACTGCAGGACAACAGCTGCCCAAACTGGATGTCACAGGATTCTATTGTTAAAGTTGGGCGCTTGTTAGTGCCTTTGGCTGGCAGCAGCTGGTCAGGGTTACTCATAAAAGTCTTATTGGTTGTCAACGACATCAATATCTGCATACCAGAGACACACTCGCACACACCCGCTCACATCCGCACACACACATTTATGTCCAATCAAAGCTTAGCAAAATTTTCTGCGTTTTTTTTACTGCTCGCTTTAAAATGATTTCTGATTTATGCGCACAGCTCTTGGTGCAGGCAAAGCCACGTGAATACATTAATGAATTTACCATGCATTTGAAGTTCATGTCAAATAATTCATTGGCACTTTATTCTCTGACACTGCGACTTGCTATAAATACGCGCTCTGTAGCCAAAGCGCGCTCTAATTGAATAAAATATTCGTGTCATGCAGGTCTCGAAAGTCTGTATCAGCAAACGGCATGCCTTAAATATTATGACTTAATTAAAATGCCACCAACAGCAGCTGCGGCAGCAACAATAACAGCAACTTGACACCTACACGAACTAACTACGTTGCGGAAATGCTTCAAAAGGTATTCGGCATCCCTTTCAAATATTTATTTTTCACCGGCAAAGCCAAAGATTTTCGCGCTAAGCCGTCAGTTTTTTCAAATATTTACTCTCCGTCTCAAACATAACAATTCCCATAGTGAAAGCGTATCATGACTTTATCATGAGACAGCTGGTGGGCCCTGGCTTTAAAAGGGTCTGGCCAGCAACAGGCGACGGTCTTATTACCATAAAACAATTTTTTTCTTATTCGGCAGGCTTTTCAGGCTCATCAAATATTAAATGAAAATTTGCTTCGTTCTCGGCGATGTTTGTAAATATGCATATTAACTAATCCGTTGTCCATAAAGGATTATTAGTAATGCTTCAACGAAACATGCTTATGTAAATAAATAAAAAATATATTTAAAACTGTTTTTTCAGACTGACTTATCAACGCCCAAATCATAATTGAAAGAAATTAGACAAATTGTTATATGAAACTTTTTTGTTCAACAGTTTCAAACTATTTTTCACAGAACTTTGTGAAAATTAAATTCGGATGTCCAAGTTTCGTTCAATCAAGCTGTAAGCATAAGTTGAATACGTGTGTTACCAATTTTGCAAAGTTCTCACCACGGGAAAAAATGCCATATACATATTTATGTATGTCTTTACAACTATTTGAGTTTATGAATGTATGTATTTTCTCTTATAGCCAACGCAAAACAAATATACTTTCCACTGGGCCTCACTATGCGCTTCTCATGAATTCAAGTATAAGACACTCTCTCTCTCTCTCTCTCACTCTCTCTATGCGTGTCTCTACTTCTCACTTTATTCCACTCCCTTTCGCTTGTTCTTAATTTAACCCGCTTTCTTTGTTTTATTAATGATGTGTGTATATGTAATGTTCTTTCTCTCCGAAAGAATTTTCGTGCGAGTGTATGTAAATGTTAATTTTACATATTAACATATATTATAATATATAAATAGCAATATATATTAAGCGAATTCCGAGCACTTTTACTTTTTAAACAAAGCCTTTTGATTTCTTTAAGTCCAATAATGGCTTGGCTGTACTGAAATGCAATTTACTTATGCATTATGAGTTTTAATAAATAGCATTCAGTTTTGATAACCTTTTTAGAGTAAAATAATATTCATTTACAAGTTTATAATAAATCTGATGTTCGCAAACATGGAATAATGATATTATAATAGTATTTTTGAAAAAAAACAATTTTTTTCGAACTCATTTAATAATGATTATAATTTGTAATAAATTATTTTATACAATTATACAAATTATACCCCAATTGAATTCATTTACTCACATAGCCATGTCAGCTGTATTATTATTTATTCTCCGAATCGTATTAATAAATTATCAGATTGTGAACTTCCATTCTCCGTGCAATTGTCGGATTTCATTTAAATGGAAAACCTTTTTTTAAGCATATTTAAATTAATTTTATTACGCGTACGCCTCATTGGCTAAGTGTTTTATTGGCTTAAGCTGCCGCCGCTGACGCACATAAAAAATATTTAATTAATTCGCGCAAAAGTTAAATCAACCGCGAAGCATATAACGCCTCTGCACGCATTTAAATGCAACCGCAGCCCAAATGCAGCCTGGTTGTGTGTTGTATAAATATGTGCGTAGGTTGCAAGCAGCTAATTACCGCAGAGGGTACTCCTGGAATTACTTGGCCCGTTTCCATTTTGAAACTGTCGTCGCCCCAGAAAAAGGAACTTCATTAACTTTATGTCATGTCGGGGGGATGACGCACAGTCAAATGGCTTGTCGTGTTGTGGCTCCATCACAGTTTTCTGCAGCATTTTCCGCAGTGTTTTTAGTGTCGGCTTGCATATGCGAAGAAATCTATTACTTTGCCGGAAATTAGTCGCACACATAACCCTGCCGCAGACCTCCGTTCGAAATTTATTGAACATGCTGCATTGGATTTTGTGCAAAGTGCGCACGCCACGCGTCATATTTCATGTGAGAGCATCGAGTTTTTGGCATAAATTTGCGTGGGAAATGTAACCAGCTGCTTCTACACGAGACTAAGATATTGAATTTATTGGGTCTTAGGACAGCTTCTGCTTCTGGCAGCAACACGGCTAACAAATTGATGTCGATTAAAAGTTCGGCTCCTGCCAACGGCAACAATATGGCCGAAAATACTTTGACACACGTTTGGCCAGGAGGACAATGACAAATAAGCGGTAATTAAGGAAGTTTGTGTGCACACTTATTAAAAGAAATGACAATGACACGATGCCCGCATGCGGGCATATATCCAGGTATTGCTGGTGTGCTTTTGCTGCAAATGTTATTTATCAATTAGGACTCTGACTTGGCAACACTTTATTTTAATTGGCTCCGTACACACGGGCACATCAAATGTCACACACACAGGGCCAGAGCCAGCTGTTGATTCTAGTCTAGCATTGGCAAGTGCGAGTCTAACTTTCTCTCTGTGCGGCTTAACTGCCCGTAAAGGGCTCAAAGTGTTGCTGATGCTGTTAACATGCTGCATTAAGCGAGCATCAAGTGCAGCCCAAGTCAGGAGTGGGTGCAGCCCATGTCCGGCTGACGATTGAGTGAGTGACCAGCTTGACTACAATAGCAAAGAACGTGGGTGCAGGCTGGCTGGACACAATGAATGGCCATCATTTGCAGTGCGGCGCTCTCAAAGCTTGCTTGCACCCTTCCTGCTCATTTTCCCTTGGCTGCATTGTTGACTTTCCGCCCACTTTTCCTACACGGCTTCAGTGGCCCCCAGCGGCAGGTTTGACTTGCCTTTAACACAGCTAAATTGCAGCTGAAAAATGTACATTTCTTCTCTTTACTGACACTGACTCTACACAAGCTTGCTGCAGGCCAATTGACTATTGTCAATGAGCATATTGTTATTTTAGTAGCTGGCAACAACAGAAAGGGGAATGTCGCACCTAAGCAAACATTGCAAATGATATTATTGATAGTTAAATAGTCAAAGGTGCAACTCAATTGCAATGCGTAGCTTGAAGTCCTTCCGACCAATGCACAAATTGATTAGGTCTTACACTAGAATTGATTCATGCTGATCAAGGCTTTGTCCTGATATATCGATGTTTAATGCACAGCCTCAAGACTCTGTTCCAGATTTAGACCTCCAAGTGGCTTAAAATGTGGTCAACGTTTGTATTAAATAACACAACTCAGCCAGAAAGCGTCGGACTTATAAGCGAGCAGTCGCTGATTCAACTTTAGGAGCAAGTGCCAATGTTTTATTATTTATTTATTTTTTTTTATTAACAAAGAAAAGACCAAAATAATAAATTAAAAAACAAAGAAATGGAAACTCATATGTTTTCAAAAAGTCAACTCCTTACGTATCGCGAGCATGATAATATTTTTAAATATGTTTATTAAATTTAAATAATAGTCTTTATTTTGTATAATTGATATATGAATCTAAGCTAGTGTGCACCTCCATTACATAAGCGAACTATAGTAAAAAGTTCAGCTTTTATGGTTTTTACAGAAAAGTAGTTTTTTATATAGAGGCTAATATAAGCAAGGAGAACAGTAATCAGTTTCTTAGCCAGGATTTATTGGCTGAGTCTGTTAATTGGGCTCTTAACAATTTAACTTGGTAGCATATTCAATTGGTTGTTATGTTAGCCGGGCAAAGCTGAGTAATTTCATCGAGCTTACAATATTTTAAACTATGTTCTTAGATTTCGAAAGCACTGCAGAATAATTTTTGTATATTGTTCGACAGGCTATTTCTTTAATCAGTTAATAATTTAAATATATTTTAAAATTGTTTTAGGAAACTTGATGTAAATACAGGCCATGTATTGTATATTAATAGCTTCTATATTGGATTATATATCATTTTCTATAATAAGTATAGAATACAGTTATAAATTATCAACAGAACTTCTGATATAACGCTTCGGATATTAAGTACACAAGTAAGGGAATAGCTCATCAAAACATGACTTGTATGAAAAATATTAAATAAAAAGAAAAGAAAAAAAGAGTAAATGATTCTGTACAGTATTACTGGCACAGATTTTAAATAAATTACAAATAATGCGCAGGAAAACTTAGAAAAATATTTCTCTTAACAGTTTTATTGTTTCAATCTGAGTTGTTGAAAAAGCTTTCTAATTACAAGGCTGACTTGTTTTTACCAATTTGTATTATGTAGTAAGCACCTTTTATATTATCATTAGATAACCAATTACTCTATAATATAAATAATATATTAAATTATTAAATTAAAGAGTGCCGTAAAGATAAAGACTGCACTCGCACACCAAAGCAGACGTCGCTGCAAATTAATGCGTCGTATTGTGGGTAAAGTTACATATTTCACACCTACAAAAAGTCCAGTAATACTTTGCTGAGTAATTAGATAAACTTTAAATGAAAACCAATAATATAAACCTAATCAATATTTTTGCAATTATTTCTATGTAGTTGCCTTTATAAAAACTCTTTAAATAGCTTTAGTTTTCATAATTTGTGATTGTTCTCTGGCAAAAGCCTTACAATGACAGCCCATCGTGCAATGAAACATAAAATTGATTTAGAAGCAAATGATATTTGAGTCAAAGCCCTCTAATATCGCACATGACCAAGTTTGAACATATAATTCGTATAATTTGAGACTAATGAAAGCAATCTGCCCAAGACATGAACCAAGATGAATCAACTAACAAAGAGCCAAGGAAAAGCCAAAGATTTCACAAAGTTTGCTCATCAAATTCGACATGGCCGAGGCCTATCAATCGTCCCTGACAGAGCGAAATGAATTCAACTGATTGTAAGACAAGAGCTGAATTTGAAGTCAAGGGTAACCCCAACTTGTTGATCGAAATCGAATTACAAGCGCGTTACCTTAGCCCCAGCAGCATTAGCAACACCTTCACTCACTTACCTGAACGCCCAGCACAATCATGGACACATAGACATAAACCACGAGCTTCATTCCGTCGGCGTTTGGGTCTGACGCTGACTTTTAATTAACCGACGGTGTAAAAGAATTTGAGTCGCGCGGCCGCCAAAATCGTAAGTCCCAGGATGCGAGCGATGTGCGGTTTGATTTTTAAATTTAAGCTGATTAAAAGTATTTGCGGCGAATGGAATGGTAAGACGCAAGCAATAATTTTATTAGAGCGCAAAATTGATGACAATGGGACGAAGGACGGTCACGTAATTCGCACTTGGACCGAGATTGAAACTGAACGCGTTTTGAATGGCACAGAAACCGTTACACGCGACACTAAGGATAACAAGGATATATAAAGCGTAGCGCTCTGGAAACGGACTGCAGTGCGCGACTTCCGTTCGCTGACCAAAACGAGACGTCAAAGCTGCCGCAACCGACGACAGAATGTTGCTCCTTATCAGCGGCGCATTTCCTTTTATAGTCCTGGCTCGTGCTGCCTCCACATGCTCACACCGTCCCAACCGCCCTTCCTCCCCTTTCGTCTGCTCGCAGCCACTTGCGTGGCATGCAGTGCGCAACATTTGAGAGTTCACTTCAAGCACCGAACTTTTGATAAGATAAGAAAACTTGTCCCTTAAGCATTCTGTATGCTGGAAAATATTCGACAGTTTCTAAACTATTTTCATTTTGGTCATTTTTTTTCTTCTAATTTTCTTTGTCGCAAACGCAAAATGCCTTTATTAATTTAAAAGTTGACCGTTAAAAGGAAAACTCAACACACTGAAAGCTTTTGGGGTAAAGCTCTTTGAAGCTTGCAACCAGACTTGCCAACTTTCCGAAAACTGCAGCAGCGCCATTTTCAAAAAAGAAAAGCTGAAAAGCTTTGAGACGAACATTACTTAAAAAGAAAACTACTTTTATTTGAACTATCTAAAAGCTACAATTATTGACTGGAGATTTCTTGCACTCTCTGTCTCTCTCTCCCTCTCTCTCTCTCTCTCTCTCTCTCTCTCTCTCTCTCTCTCTCTCTCTCTCTCTCATTCTCTTTGCTACTTCAAGCTGACGTCCAGCGACGGCGCCAGGCCCATGGGTATGGGCACATTGCGTGGGTGATTCAAGTCGCCGCGATCGTAGTAGCCGCCCAGATGCTCGCCGGGCACATGATACAAGCCATAATGGAGTCCTGTATTGGCTACCTGTGAAAGAAAATGCTCTGGGCTTAATTGAAATGCTCTTGTAGTATGTTAGACTCTGTTATAACTAACCCGCTTCAGTCCATTGATGGAGGCCAGCAGCAAAGCCATTTTGGCCAATAGCAACGCCTTGCCACTGACAATGGACAGCATTTGGAAACCCATGGGCACCAGCACGGCGCCCAGAGCTGTCACACCGAACATCATGGTGATAATCATGTTGAAACGATGCCGACGTAGTCGGGCGCTGCCCACCGCATCCGCTTTGCTCTGCGACGCATCTGCAGACGATTAAGCCCAAAAATATTCAAGGAAATAATATCTTGGCCATGGTAAAGCCACCTACCGTTGCTCAGATAGCGCTCCGTGAGCTTGGCCAGATTGATTTGCAGCGTGTGCGTGGTCAGACCCTTGGCCAGTCTAACAGCCAGCTGATCAAACCACGTCAAGTGCTTGAGATCCTTGCGCTCATCGGCAGCTGCTCGGCCTTGGCCATTTGTCGCATTTGGTGCGGCCATCAGGCGCACGCCCTCATAGAGCGGTATAACATCCGCCGCCATGATGTCCTCGAAGATTTGCAGGCTGCGCGCGCGGAAGCAAGCCCACAGACCCATGCCCGAGCGATAGCAATCGCCAAGCTGTTGGCGCAACTGCAGCAGCTGGGCTATCCACGAAACGCGCGTATCCGTTTGAGTTTGCGTTGGATTGACCGTTGCCGCATTGCCTGCCACAAGTTGCAGCAGCAGGCACCCTGCCAAGAGGCAAAGGCTTTTCACAAATTTCACTTGCATATTGTGCGGCTCTAGAAATGTTCGCGTCAAGGCTCGGATTGAAACTGCGGCTGCTTGGACGCTCGACTGCAGCTTTTTATGTGCCGCCAGAGCTGGTCACTGAATGGAAACGCATTTGGCTCGTGCAACCAGTCATTAGAGGGAGAATCCAACGCATTGCGTGCAGAATTAAATGGCTAACGGTCAGACATCGTTTCCAATTGGTTTTTGACGGTCATGGTCAGCGGCCAGCGGTCAGCGCCAGTCCAGTGGGCGGGACTCCAAGCCCAGTAAACCACATTGTCATAAAACTGTTGAATCCGAAACTGAATTTATTGTCGTGTATGACCTGAAAACCACCTGGTTAGACATCAAATTACCTTGTCAACGCTTTTGGTCAAATGCCACCGTATTCTAATCGCATACAGGCCGCATGCCTGTTAACAGTTGCAGTTAGGCATGGTTAAAGCGCTTCACTGGGCTGACCGAAGGGCAGTCGCGGTACTTTCCAGTACGACACGGCGGTAAAAGTTATGACAAAAGGTTGAGCTATTTTCAGCTATTTACTTTCTAGTTATTGGATGGGTTTGTGTATCTATAAATTAGCCAAACAGAGTTTGCCGTCTTCTTGGGGGTTATTAGCTTAGGTTAACTTGGCCAAAACAGGCCTCTCAAACAAGGTCAGAGATCAACCGGAGGGGATTGAGCAGCGGCAATATGAGGAGCATATTATAGTCTGCAAAGGATATGCTGATCAACTTTAAAAGAAACTAGTCTCAGGTATTTAAAATGAGAATCAGCTAAAAAAATCAGCTGTCCGATTCACCACTTGAGAGTTATATAATGAGTTCGTCCGGCCTAATCTCATTCGCGAAATTGGGAAGATATTTATAAGTTTTTTGGCCATAACACTTATTAGAAATTGTGGCGAATCCAGCTAAGCACAGCATGGACACTGCCTCCAGCAAACTGAAGAAACATATTAAGTTTCCTCAAGATAGCTTTGAAGGTCCGAAATTCTAGTTAGTTGTAAAAGGCAGACGGATTAGATTTAGATTTGTCTCCATTTGTGCATCATACTGTTCATTAAGTAATTATTTAATTAGGACTTTGCAAATTAGAATTATTTAACCCACTTTAAGAGCATGAAAAGAATCAATCCTGCTCGATTTTCAAGTAAATATCCATTTCACATTTTCACATGTCATTCCGTAGGAATCTAGTTTGTTGTTTCAATTTTTGTACATATTTTAATTATATTCAGTTTTACATTTATTAGCTAAGAGGTAATTCATTGCATTTTTGCATTTTTGCATTGTAACTGTTGAACAAATTCGTACTAAAATAAAAAGATTTTACGCTTAAATAGTTCATTGAGTGCAAAAAGTAGACGTTCAGTGATTTCCTTTGTTTTCGTTACGCTTTAAACTTTAAACTATGCATCTAGTTAAAAAAGTTTTACAAAAAACAGTTACAGTATCATTTTCTATTATATATAAATATATGCTCGTTTCCTGTGCAGATAAAACAGTTGCTTTCAATTGTGTGCCATAAATGTCTGCTATAGTATCATATATACATACATGTACATTTCTATTAATATATATTTCCAAAGTTTGCTTTTAAAACCTGTTGATGGTGTGAAAAGATTACTCTAGAATAGACCAGATGCATCCTCGACTGATTGTAGTTGTATAGGAATAAACGCATCCTAGCAAAAAATAGACATATACTCTATAACTGATCTATACCGACATTAACTTTCTGGCTATACATATACAGATTTATATATATGTATGGTATTTCTATGGCTACAACTGACCAACTAGCTTGTGCATGGCAGGCGATGCCGCCAATATAATCATGAGCCCGTCGCGGTACCCGCCGTGGCAGAAGCGGCAGCGCCACGCCCAAAACGAGGCAGATAGAGTCCAAATTTGGACTCGATGCCCGTCAGCAGCGGCACGGCCGCATGGTAGCCGCCAATGTGATCGGGCTTGGGCTGCAGGCCGCTCAGCGTGCCGGTCAGTGGCAGACCGGGCTTGGTGCCTTGGGAGCCCTTGGGCTGATTGCCGCCAAAGTCCACGTAGAAGAGACGCTGCAGAAGCTCGTAGGTAACCAAGGTGACACCAAATTGGGGCGAGGAGCGGCAGACGCGAGCTAAACAAGAAAGATTCGGAGATAAAGTGGGCAACAGGTACTAGTTGTTTTTTGGCTACTCACCGGCTGTGCCCTTCCAGAAGGCACGTGGGCCCTCCTCGGCCATAATCTTCTTGGTGGCATCCCAAACACCCGTGTACGTGGTCTGTCCCGTGCGAGCAGCGACCTGCAGACGCGTCTTGATCACATCGGCGGGCGTCACCAGCGAGGCAGCGGGCACGCCGGCAATGGCGCCTGCGGCCAGCAACGATAGCGGATGATTGTAGCCATCCTTGTCGGCCAGCGCCGCCTTGGTGTGCGCATAGGTCGGAAAGTAAATGGCCGAGAAGTTTACATCGCGCAGCAGACACGCCCGTGCGCCCTTATATAGTCCAAGGAAGCCCAGCTCGCGAACAACGGACAGGGCACTTATCTTGGAGCCACCGGCGATTTCGCCAGCCACCTGTAGCCTAATCTTGACAATCTCCAACGGATTGGTAAAGATGACCTGTGCACAACCACCACAGCCGCCGGCAACCACCTCGGCCCAGACGGGAATGTTGCCACGCTTATCTGTCAAATTGTCGCGCACAAAGTCATTGACCGTCAGCTTGATGGCCTTCTCAGGGGCGACGCCCATCAGCTGGGGCAGCAGGCCGCGATAAAGACCGAGGATGCCTTCGTGGCGAATGACCTGGCGCAGAAAAGATTGATTGCGATCAGGTATACGTTTTAGTTTTTTGGCTTACCTTCTTGAAACAGTCCCAGGAGTTTCTATAAGCAATCTCACCAATCATGGAGCCAGTGCGTTGATTCTGCATGCGTGTCTTGACAAGATCAATGGGATAGACCACCGTGGCGCCAGTAGCTAAAGAAGAGAGTGCATAGTTGAGTTACCAGGGTAGATAATCTGAGGAACTGTGGACTTACCGCCCGCAAAGGAGGCCAGGGTAAAGCGATAGGTGGCCTCCAGCATTTGAATTAAGGCCGATCTGTCATTGGGACTGTCGACAGCCTTGATCTCGGCCAGGCGGTGAGTAATATGCTTCGTATAATGCTCGGGCGCAATGTTGCTCAGATCGCTGTAGTCGATGCGGCTGTTGGGACAAACGATTTGGGCATGTGGTTAGTCGAAGGTTCGGGATGCGTAGATACCCACACATAGCTATCTTAAACGAAAACACACCGAAGGGGCGATGCATGGCGATCGGGAATTTTGGTATCGTTTTTTGTTTTTTTTTTTTGTTTTTGTAAGGATTGGGAATACCATGTCAAAATAAGGTGTTTTTTTTTTTGTAAGGACAACAACACTTGCCTACTT